GTCTGGGCCAGGGGAGGGGTCTGGGCGCCCGCGCGGGGGTGGGGGCGACCGTGGGCGTCTCCCCGCTCTGAGCCGGTCCCGCGGCGCTCTCGCGGCTCGGACTTTCAGGGATAGGGTCACCTTAGGCCGCTCGCTCTGTGGGGCCCCCCAGACCTCTGCCAGGGGCTCCCCGCAAGGCCCGTGCGCCTGAATCCGACAGAGTGGGTCCCTGTCGCGGGGCTTGGCCTGCAGAAGCCCTGAGCCACCTACTGTGTGCTCGAGTCTGTGGGTGGCGGCCAACGCTCACGGGGGAGGGGGTGACTGTGCACGGGTTTCCCTCAGTGCGTGTGCGCGCGATGGGGACGCTGCACACCCCACACTCCACACTTGTCTGCAGCACCCGCCCTGTGGGGTCCCCGGCCTTGCTCACTTTTAAAGTAGGTTCTGGGAGTGAGAGATGCCTCCCCGTTATCCGCATCACCCGAAGCCCCGTCCCCTTCCCACGTGCATATGGTGCTGAAGCCGGGGAGGATCCATCAGTGCTGGAGTAAAAAGGGGAGTACTGGTCCCCGAAAGCACGCACAGTCTCTCCCGGACAAGCCAACAGGCGGAAGGGCAAAAAGAACAAGGTTCAGCTGCTTTACTTGCTTCACCTCCCGCCTCCCAGCCTTTCCTCTCCGAGTGTCCATATTTTATGCATTTAGCAGATTTTACACATCTACTCGTCTCCTCTGCACATATCACTCACTATGCGTCAGAGAGCTGGACAACGACTAGGGAGGACAGAAGGAAAATCGGTGCCTTTGAGCTGTGGTGCTGGAGAAGAGTAATGACTATACCATAGACTGCTAAGAAAACGAACAGGTTCACCCTAGAGAGGATTAAATCAGACTGCTCCTTGGAGGCATGGATTCTGAAGCTTCGTCTGACATTGGACATGTTGCAAGGAGGGACCAATCCTTGGAGAGGGACGACATGCTTGGGAGAGTGGAGGGACAGCGCATAAGAGGAAGACCCTCTATGAAATAGATTGATCCAGTGACTGGGGTGTCAGAGACAGGTTGGCACAGGATAGAGCAGGGTTTAGGGCTGCTGTACATAGGCGTGATCTGGTGACCTGGGTCAACTAGCCAGAGGGTGAACAGCAAAGAAGGTAGGGACTTGGTGAAGCCTTTCCCCTTCCCCAGCTAATTTCATCTCCCCAGGGGCTTAGGGGGCCCCTGAATCATGTTGCTTCTGTGGGAGCAACCTGATAGGTGGAGGTGCGCTTAGCGGGTACTTCCCACATGCAGGTGTAGCCATATGTGCCCTACCCAGCTGGGGCCTTCAGCATCCCTAAGTGGACACCAAGGCCCAGGTTGCAGGTCATGGGGTGGTTCCAGGAAGCCTTCAGGACAGAGGTGACTTACAGGCACTAGGCCAGCAGCACCATTAGGTCCTCCCTACCTCCCCCTCTAGCCTTCCACCCTCCCCAACTCGCCACTTACCCTCACACCAATACCCCTACCCCCCACCCTACCTTCCCCACTGCCAGACACAGCCAAACACCAAGCAATGGGTAGACAGGGAAAACAGTCAGGGGTCTTGTCTCAACTTTCTTCCTTCCCCAGAGAAGTAGCCTTCTTGGTACCCAGCCCCCTCCAGGCCCTGCTCATTCTGCTAACTCTTGCCCACTCTGACCTTGAAACAGGAGCCATGTCTTCGTAATTCTCAGTTTAGGGCTCAGAGCCCAGAGCTAAGCAGAGTGATTGTACAGTCAGTGGGTTATGAATGAATGGATGATAGGGGGTCGGGGGGGGGGGGACTGGCTTTTGCTTTTAGACCTTATCTGTGTGCAACCTCCCCAGTGAGAGACTTGTCTTCACCACTCCCACCCCCACCCCACCAGCAGACATTCTTTGTAAGCACCACCATTTAACAGAGCCCTTGTATCCACCAAAGGTTTAGCATGTCAAGTGTCTTCTCAACCCCCTGGGAGGTGAGGCAGGCTCCAGGTGTTCACAGCCCTGGACAGTTCTTGTCCTTCATTGCCCTCCTCCATGTGTCATCACTGTCTTAGAGGCCTGGGTGGTGATGGTTGAGTGTCTGCCTCCCCCTGTGCCCTGAAATGTTAGCTTCAGGAGGGTAAAGACGATGGCTGTCTGCACACTCACTGCCTTAACTTCCCCTTCCACACACAGTTGTGTGCTTTCTAATCAGAACCCACCCATAGCTGACCCGTGAGGTTTTCAGAGGCAGCATGAGAGGAGATTGCTCATCCTCCCTCTACACAGCTGGTAGATTTGAACCACATGCCTTTGGGATTACAGTGCAGCTTCTAGTGTAGACCACCAGAGCACCCTCCTCTTGAAAATGTTTGGCACGTGAAAATATTTGTCTGTATGCATTAATGAGTGAATGAATTAATGAGTGGAGAGATGGAAAGTTAGGGCAGGCCCTTCTCCCACTGTGGAGCAACCCTTTGAAAATAGCCTGATGGGAACAGCAGAGGCCAGGCCCCAGGCAGCCAGCACTGTCCTCAATATGTACATGGTCCTGAGGTCTCCTCCAGGGCCACCCTGGCCATTTGTGCCTCCAGAGGAAGCAGGGCAGACCACCTGGCTCAGACTAGCCGCCTTTCCAAGACTCCAGAAAATGTTAAGGGCCGCAACCTCAGTTAGTTATCTTCAATCCCGCAGAAAATACGGGCATTCTGGAAACTGGCCCAGCCTGGATGCGAACTCCTTCACACCTGGAGACCCTCATCCCTAGTATTGGACCATTTTGGCATCCTTTCCTCTCTCCCAAACTCCAGGTCTCTGGAGGCCAAGGGGGGCGTGCGATGGGGCACCCCCACAGCAGGAGCCCGTTATGCCCAGGCCTGCCCCTGACTGACAGATGCAAATGCTCCCTCCCTCCCTTGCTCGCTTGCCTCCGTCCAGCTCGCTCCTTTATCTTATCAAAGCCCCGTAATTACAATTGCTATTTTGTTTCCTCGAATCTGCAATCAGAGCTCCCAGGCCCTGATGAGGGAGTGCCTGTCAACCTGATCGCTGAGTGACAGCCCAGCCACCTTCCCTGGCCGCCCCCACACTCTGCAAACACACACACACACACACACACACACACACACACACACGCGCGCGCAAACAAAAACACACACTCCTCGCCAACGCAAACACGCCCTCGCCTGGACCCAAACACACACCTACTGCCTCTTTCCAAACGCACCTCTGGCCCCACAGGGCCTGAGCCCCTCAGATCCCCGCCGCCACGCTGCCCTGAAGACGCACTGGGACGCACACTCCCTGCGCGCTCCAAGGCGTTCACAGTGCCGTGGACTCCCGCCCATGGTTCAAAAGCAGATTGCCCAGACTGTGTTAAGCACTTGAAGCCACAGTTTCAGGCTCATACACACACTGGGACAACCTCCCCCATACGGGTCTGTCCCTCCTCCAGCGGTCAGTGAGCCAGCAGTGGGTGTCTGCAGCCCTCAGGGAGGTGGGGAGCAAAGCGAATGGACGCCTCTCAGTGTCCTCTTGGGATGAGTGGGAGAGGTGAGGGCGAAGAAAACAATCCCAAACTCTGCCTCTCGCCGCCTGAGGACCAAAACCCTCCAGGGTGAGAAGGCAGATGTGGATTGGGCCCCCACTGCGGGCAGGGGCACGCCCACCGCCCAGCACCGTGGGGGCGCGGGGCGTCTCCACAAGGCAAACAGCCCCAAGCCATCAGCAGTGGCCTGAGGCTCATGTACAGTGTAAGGGCGAGACCAAGCGTAAAGGGTCCTCAGAGATGACTTTTCACCGCACTCAGGGTCTCCGCTCCTTCAACAAAGTATGTGCAGAGAAGCATGGAGAGTGGTAGTGAGAGACAGGCAAGGGCCTGTGCCTCCACTTGCTTTCCTTACTATAACGTGAGTCCGTCCCAGAAATGAATGGATGGGTGGATGAATGAATGACTCAGCAGAGTCGGGATAAATAGCTCATGCCCTCACTCATCTGAAGCGCAGGCCCAGCACCGCAGAGCGCACCTGGAGCCCCGAGAGGCAGCGTGGAGCGCGCCAACATGGGTGTCCTTTGGATGTTTCAGCCTCATCCACCAGAGAGCGCCAGACATCCCTCCCCATGCGCCCGAAGGAGGCCGAGGCTAGGAGGACGAGGCTGGGAGCCTGACTAACCCCTGGAACCCTGGGTTTCTCGTGGAAACGCTTCAGGAAACTCCTCGTGGAGCAGGGAATGAGGTCTGACTGCCATAATACAGGAGAAGGAGTCTTCTGACTTTGTCTTCAACTTGAAGGACTGGTGTTGGAAATCAGACCCTGGAGCACAGCAGGGATGTTTGCTAACTAGAAAGGGCTTCCCATGTTGTGAGGACATTCCCTCCAAAACTAACTTCACTCACTCCATTCGGTTCCTTCCAGTTACCTAGCACCCCCCCCCCCCACTTGTTCACTCATTTCCCCAGCAGCTGGTTTGTACAGCAGCCTGTCCCCCACTGACTCTGGTCTCTGTCCATCCAGAATCTGTCTGGCCCCTGCTTGGCTCTTAAGGTAACCTTTTGTTTGTTGGGCGCTGACACCCTCCACATCAACACAGCTGCTGAACTGCTGACCCCAGAAGTGGTCACACATACATATCAGGTACACCCAGTATCTCTTCTTAGTACAGCAGCAGCTAGGGTCTACAATCACCTGATTCCAGGTAACAGATCGCCAACATCAGTCAGTATGCTAGGGACAGGAACTCCTTAACCCAGAGGGTCAATTCCCAGAAGCCCCTCTCTGCCCCCATATGCCAGGCCACCCGGATTCTGGTTTCCCTGTTACCCAATCTGGCCAGCCCCCTCCATCTGGCCCCTGGAATCAGGTTTCTAAGGGCCCATCCCTGCCCAAGACCGCCTACAAGACTGAAAGGAGCAAAGACTGGCCCCCGCCCAACCCTTCATAGACCCTCCTGGGCTAGACCTCCTTCATGGGGCTCAGGAGTCACATTCCTCAGGCAGCTTAAGCCCCCTTATCTGTCCCCTGCCCATCACCCGAGTGCTGACAGAGGCCCAGACCCGTTGTTTGGACACTGATAACCTCCTGGAATGGCTCTCCCCCGCCCACTGGGCTGGGAAAGGTCTGGGTGTTAGGAGCTCCTCTTCAAATAAGGGAGTTGGGGACAGAAATGGGCCTGCCTCCTGACCCTGTAGACAGAATTCAGTTCTGACTCTGCAAACCTCCACTGAGTTTCCAAGGCTGTATTCTAAATCTTTATGGGAGGAGAGGGCCTGTCTTTTTCCCAGGGAACCATTGATGGATTTGAACCTCTGGAGAGGTTAGACCTTTAAGTTAGCAGCGCAAGTTGCAAAGAACTATCCCATCAGAGCTCACAAGTCCAGGGTTGTCCTTGGTGCTGCCACAGTGCCACCTGGTGGTCCCTAGGGGAATGTCATTCCAGCATAAGAAGCCATTCAAATGATTTGCAAAAACACACATGCCATTTTATTTCAACCTTTATCCAAAAATGTAAAAAGGGATAAAAATGTTTTAATCCTGAGCTTCAACTATTGACCTCTAATCCTCAAGAGAAGGTTGGGGGAGAGGGTCAGGACAGAAGTTCAGTGTTCCTCCTACCCCTAGAGAAAAGGAAAAATCCCAGATACTATTAACTGGGTCTAGAACAGGACCCTAAGGAGAATGGGCCCCCTTTTCTCCTAGCACCAGTTTTGGCACTCCCCCCACCCTGCCCCTGTCCCCAAAACTCCTCTTCAACGGAGAATAAACGTTTCAAATTCTTGAGACTGGTCCAGGAATGTGGTACATGGTACAGGTCACAGGCTGCTCTCTGGCCTAAGGAGAGATGATAGTCAGCATCTAAACCTCTACCTGCTCCTCCTTAACCAGGTACCACTCAGCTTTAACTCACCACGACTAGTGCCTGGCCTGGTGCTTCCTGGCAGGTAGGACAGAGCACAACTCAGCTTCCTCCTCCTCCTCCTCCTCCTCACTGTCTTCTTCGTCACTTTCCTCCTCTTCAGAAATATCATTGCTTACAGTAACTGGTGGACACAAAAGAGTACGGGGGGAAGCCATTCCTCCTTCACACCAAGCAATCTTTAACTGTAGACCCTGTGGTGTTGGGCTTGCAGGAACCCTGATCACAAGCTCTAGATGGGATGACTCTCAGCTACAAACTAGGGGCCAAAGAGCCACTAGAGTACAGATCACATGAGCAGAAGCTAAGCCAGTTTCAGGAAGGAGGTATGCTTGAGGAGGACAGAAGAGTGGAGTACACATGATGCAGGCGGCACAGACTACAGGTGGGGAATGTGTAGGGCCTGCACCAGGAGATGAAGTGTGGATACTTGACGTGGGGAAGTCTCATGATGAACCTGACTTAGGTGGGCATCCGGAGGGGCTGTGGGCTCTCTGGGTCCTACGACATTAAGGATATCATCCCCGAAGAAAGCAAAGACAAGGGAGAAAGAAAGTCTAAAGTGGATGTCAGAAGACACTCTGAAAGTTGCACTGGAGCGTGGAGAAGCCAAAACTAAGGGAAGACATGAAGCCATAGGTCCATAGCTCTTACCAATCTGGTGCCGCCCAGTAATCCTCACAGGCCCGGAACCTGACTTCAGGCGAAAGGTTACCGGAGGCTGGAGCTGGAAGTCATCTAGGCTGAGCTGGAGAAAGAGAAGTGGAACAGCCTGGCTCATTCCTGCTGCCGTCCTGACTGGAGGGAGCCCCAAAGCTTTCGCTCGCTTGCCGCCATCTCCCCCACAAATCAACCCGAGGCATAGGGGGGCATGTGGGGCTCACCATGGGTTGGCAGGACAACCTGAGGTTGGCCACAGGGACTGCAATCTCCTGATGGTCATGGTTCCGGGCCACGACTTCCACCACATTACACTCATCCTTGGCCCCTTCGGTAAGGCAGAGCTGGGAAACGTACACATGACTTGGAGGTTTACCCAAGCAAGGCGGGAGGCGGAGGCATTTCCCAACTTTGCCTAAACACTGAGGTTCCAGGGATCGCGTTGTCAGGGAAGGTGGCTCCCAGTGAAAGAGGTGGGGACGGTCTACCTGGGGCCTAATCCGCCCTTCGACCCTGCCCTCACCATAGTCAAGGCCAGCACGTGCTCAGCATCATCCTCTTCCTCTACTTTGAAGGTGAAAGAGCGGGTACCGCCAGAGAGCTCACAACCTGAGTTAACAGTAAATGTTCGTGACTGTGTACGGAGGGGACGGGGGGAGGCGGGAACTTTCGCCAAACCCCTCGTCACGTGCAGCCCCCAACTGACCAGCCATTACACACCCACCAGACGACCCTTCTCAAAAACACCTGATCCGTTCAGCCCTGGGCTTCGCTCCGTACATCGGGGGCAGGGCCCCGCCGCCTCCTCCCCGTGCGAGCATCCGCAATCGGGACCCGTTCTCGGCAGGGTCGGCAGCACAGCCCCTCGGTCCCACCCACGTCGTGCACCCAAATGGATCCCCAGTCCTCATCCCCGCCGCTTTCCGAGGCCGCCCAGCCCCACCCTCGTCCCTTCCTTTGCCCAATACCGAAGAAAAAACTGTCTATGGTGACTGGAGCCGGGACACGCAGACTCCCGACACCTCCCACCCGGGATCGGCTCTGCTTGCTCAGGAACGCTAGAGCGGCAGCGGTGCCGGCGGCCATGCTGCGAGGAGCGTCTCCGGGCTCCGCCCCCGACACGTACAAAGCCGGGGCCCACAACCAGTTCCGGCCCCGCCCCTTAAAGGAGCCGCTCCCGCAGAACCGAGGGTGCCCCTCGGACCCCCGCGCGGCGTCTCGGCAGCTTCTGGGCCGGTCTGTTATCGAAAGACCCCGCCTAGGGAACATAACGTCTCAGAAAGCTTATCATTGGGGTCAAGGTTAACGCCTTGATTTATTTCCATCACCAATGACTCTTAAGGGCTGCTCCTGCCTCGGTTTCTTCAACTTGTACTGCAACTCCCAGTGACCTTATGTACAACAGCCTCTGTACTCTGCCCTGTTCTAAATCGAGCCCGACACACCTAATCTCATTGCCCCAGTTATTGTGTCACTCCATCTCACCCTTAGTATTCCTCTCCTGCGATGTCCCTCCACTTTTCCAAGCATGATGTCCTTCTCCAAGGACTGGTCCCTCCTTGGCCACGTGCCGAAAGTGAGCTTCAAAATCCTTGCTAAAATAGTAATAATAAATTCCTCGCCTCCAAGGAGAAACTTGGTTTCACTCTAAGCCAAACCTACGTTTTTCTTGGTGGTTCCTGTATTGTTCAAGACTCTTCTCCAGCACCACAATTCAAAGGCATCGATTCTTCTATCATCTTTAGTCACTGTCTAGCTCTTTGAGGCATAGCATGTCATTGTGAAGACCATGGTCTGGATCAAGCAGCACTTGAGTTTCTGGACTTACATTATTGCTCCTCAGCACTCTGGAGAGGTCCCAGATAGCAACCTTCTCCAATGCGTATTTTGTCTTTTGATTTCCTGACTGCTGGTGCCAAGAGTGTTGACTGTGGAGCTGAACAAGCTGAAATTGTTAATAATCTCAATCTAGCACCATCTATAAATCGCCAACTCTTCCAATCGTCAAGTGAGGAATGCAAGCTTTTCCTGTACCCTTGCCTAGTAAATTTCCTCAGCCGGTTTTCTGGACTGCGGATGTTCTTATAAAAGCAAAGGAAATACGCTTACAGCTTTATGCTTGGTATAGTTTTAATCCCAGGGAAGCCCAGGAGTCTGAAGATTGTCACCTCCAGGGGTTTTCATATAAAGCCAGACACAATTTTCCCAGCTCTGATGGCCTAGTGCTAAGAAGCGGCTCTGTAATTCCAAAAGCAATGAGGTTCAAATACATCTGCTGCTTTTATACTTTATACATTAGTATAGGTTCTTCTCAACATGTATGTTGTTGTGTACCAGAGTCAGAACCAACCCCTAGCTAACTCTTCCAGTGGGTTTTCAGAGCCAGTTAATCTCACTGGAACAAAGGACCCATCCTTCTGTGGAGCAGCTGGTGGCCTTAAACGCCTGTGAGATTGCAGCACAACTTTTTGCCAATAGGATGCCACCAGAGATCCTTTATCATAGGTTCTTGATTACATATTACCTCAAATAGTTGAAAGTTGACCAGTTCTTTTTGGTGACTGCATACTTTCTAGGCATAATTTTTTTTTGCATTCAGTATTTTGACAATAGATTCCTTTAACACTGCAACTTGAGGCTTGAATGTTTTGAGAAATGCTTAACATACTCGCTTTTTCTAGCTTCAAGTCTTGCACATTTTTTCTTAAACTTCTTTGAACTCGTTTTCCTTTGTCTCTTGACATCCATTCTAGTCTTTAAAAAATTACCTTTTTTACCTCTATATATCCGTCAACCCACTGTCAAAAATGGTAGAGTGAATCTACCAGAGCAGAACTTGGTTCCATATCTCACTTGTGTTATGAATGAAGTAGGTTTGATGCAGTGAACACTAAAGACCAAAGACCAGTTGTTGGTTGGCAAGGACATCATGCATAAAAAAAGCTTTACTAAAAAGGAAAGACTAAAATGGATGTCAGAATCATGGGGTTTACTAGGGAAGTTAAAAGGTTGAAACTCAGGTTAGCAGTAGGACACAGTCAATACCAGCTTCTGCTGTGTGCTCACAGGCCCTTCCATCTTCATTCGACCTTGCAGCTTTAGGCTAGTGTTACACAGATCTTGTTACTGTTGTGTGCCATCTAGTTCAAACCGACACACTGCTGAGCCTCCAGCAGGTTTTCAGAGATGGTAAACTGCATGGAGATTTCTCTATCCTCCAGTGGAGGACCTGGTAGATTTGAACCACATGCACTTTGTGGTCTGCTTTTCTTCCCCTCATACTTGCCCAGTAGAAAACATACAAGTCCTTTATATGGTTGAGAATGAGGAAGACTGCCTTCAACATCCAGCCCCAAACCTGGGTTACTTCCCAACTCTGCTTTTTAGATAAATGTGGCTATATATGTCAGTGGGGTTGCTGGAACAGATGGTATTCCTGTACCCAAGTTTCTTTTGCAAAACTCTTTTTTCCACAGAGATCAAGCCACTGAACAGCTTCAGAGCTAAGGCATGCTTGCTTAGAGGGAAGGTGCGGAGAAGCTGTAAGGTGTAGAAAACAGGAAGCAGGTTCACACAACACTACACAAGTTCACGTCAAGTTTTATTTTGCCTCTTGCATGGTCTTCAGAAAGGTTTACATTTTGTTTTCTACAGAAACTGAGAATGTGATCTAAACAATAAAATTGTCATTGCAACTTGAGTAAAAATTCATAATCCATAGAGATGTCTGCATAGCTAGCTAGCACTTTACGATCCTAGAGTGACGATGAATGTTTAGGCCTGGACATCTGTTTCACAGTTTAGCATCTGTGATCAGAAGGTTGGCCAAAATTATTATTGAATGCCAAGATAAAGCCACAAGCAACTTGATTAAAAAAATCCCTATTCCAAAGGTCAAACCTAAAATCCTCCAAATAAAATGCTAGTGTGCTCTCCACTAGCGTGAGATACTCAGAGAAAAACAAAATGACTCTCAGTCAACTGAAACATTATCTAGTAAGGGCAGTCCTCTTTCACTTCCTCTCAAGCTTTACAAATGCAAACTTGGTTCCAGCTTTCTAAAATGCCTTAACTTTCTATTCACTAAAAATGTCTACTCTGAAAAAAAAGACGCAGCCTCCTCCTTTTCTCACTCCTTCAGTATACTCTCATGCCTCAGTTCAAGTCCAACTTAGTATAAAGGATTTAAGATTCTCTTATAGCCTACACTGATAGAGGAGTTCTGGAAAATAGATCTGATGTTTTATTTTCCTTGCTTAGTAACCCTCACTCAGCTCCAAGTTAAATGCTAATGCAACCTCATTCCTGTAGAGACCACCTCCTGCCAGCCTCATGCTCAGGTCCCTTAAAAATCTAAATTAAAATACATGATGCTTTCAAAGTCAGTGGTTTTTAAAGGGAATAAAAAGGTAACTATAAAACAACAGCTTCTTTAAAGTATGCTCATTCTTAAAAATTAGATAGAAACGTGCAAGAATTAAAGACTCTGATTTAATAAAAGAGTACCAACAGGTCTTGAAATTAAAGGACAACTGATCTGGGAGAAATGGGGACCAGTCAGTGCCTAAACCCTGACAGGTGTCAAAACTAACATTTCACATGCTGACCTGCGGTTGAGCTTCATTTCCAGAAGTGACTGCATTTTGCAACAGACTTGAGTCCTACTCACAGAAGTTAGGATCTCGTACCCCAAATGCTCATAGCCTTGTCCTAAGTGGAAGGTACTTAAAAATAATAAAACTTCTTTAAAAATAAACATGCCCTCCCCGAAAAAGAAACAAGTAAAGCATATCAGTTTTCCACTATGATTTACATTGTTCAAAGTGCCATCCTGAACTAACACCCTTTTATTTTCAAAAGGAAAAAAAATACAGGACAGTAAACACAAAGGATAATCTTGTTACAGTTAGTTTATATACAAAGAAATTTACAAGTTTGTCATTTTGAGGCTTTTGCCACAACAACTGCACATTTGTCCCTACAAAGCACAACATGCCTGAACCAAAAGTTGCCAACAGCAAACAATTGGCCACGGCTTTACAAAAAGCAGCAAAACTGCCAAAGACTGAAATAATTTATTCAGCTTAAACTAATGCCACAACCATCCCACTGGGGATAGATATCCACCCTGGAGCCTCCAAAACCCTCTAAATCTTTCTCCTCCTGCCACACTGTCCCCAAAGAACAAGACACATTCATTCAATAAACCAAGGAGGATGAAGAAATTATTTTGATTACTTTTTGTTGAGAAATGCAATCACACTGGATGCAGAAAACAGTGCTGACTACATTTATTGAAGACCTCCTTCCTATAAGCCTATGTAAGTAGTCTTGGCACCTAACACAAGACCCTAAAAGGAGACCTACACCTCTGTTCCACACAGGATTCACATCAGTACTATCTTCTTCCAACCAGTGAGTAGTGTGAATGTGTGATGTCAGTTTTATATAGTCTTCTTTGTTTCCAATTCAATTAGCTGATTTATTTCCACTCCAGAAGCTGAACTGTGTGAAGACCCCAACCACCACCTAATAGGTGGAGTTAAGAGACTTTTGGACAGTTCACAATGCCAAGATGTCACAGGCTTCGGCCAAGTATAACCACATCCTTTGGAAAGCCTTCCATTTTTGCAATTTCAAAACAGCCTAATTTGCTGTAAAATTCCAGAATTCTTTTATCATCTGGTCTCACTTCACAGAAAGCCCCTCTGGAACCTAGAAAGAAAGTAAAATTTTAAAATGTTAATAAATCACTTAATTAGTAGACTTGTGAGTAATCTTCCTGTCGTTCAGCACTCAGCTCGCAACCAAAGGCTGGTGTTTTGAAGTGGAGCTGCTCTGTTGCAGATAGAGCCGCCTAGTTCTAGACATAAATCCTGTCAAGACATAAACCCTTTCTTAGAGGGTCATTATCCAGTCAAAACTCAACATTATGGCAGTGGGTCAACTGATTTAATATTCAACAGTGAGTGAATCTCCTCCCCAAGGAGGGGAACAAAATATCTCAAGGAAAAGGATGTTAAATCTCAGAGCAGGGAACACCTCAGGGTTCAAAACATGTACTACATACCTAAGTGCTTCAGCACAATGATGAATAGTG